CCACTGCGTTTGCAGCGCCGCCGCACCGGTCCGGCGACGCTGCCGAAGGAGCAGAAGAAAGCGAAAGGAAAACGTGTCCTCTCTCCGCAGTTTCACATCGTCGCGGGCGTGATAGCGGAAATGAATACACTTCTAACAATTCGTTGTTATAAAATAGGTATCATATATCATATTAAAAGTCCACCAAAGTTTTGTGGGGCAGCCGAAATAGAGGTACTGCGAAGAAGATGGGTGGTCATTAAGGTTTAAAATATTTTATCGAGAGTATAATGCCGCTTTTCTCTTTCCAACTGTCGTTATCTTCCATTTGGTTTGGCGGAACCTTGCCCTTTCTTGATATTTTTGCACACTTCGCTCGTTATGCTCCTGCGTTTTTCCATTCTCTTATCCCGCCAGCAACCCTTTCTTTTCACCTTTCATTGCCAAAACTTCACGAGCCGAGGGTGGAGACATCCAGAGTCATCCCTTCTTTACACCCCTCCTTCATTTTCTGATAATTTTCCAAGTTCTTCCTAAACAATTTCTCATTCCTTTCTCTGGCCTATTCTCCCCCCACCTTCCCCCCACTCGCCCTTATTCACCATCAGAGTACAAGAGGCAATTAAACGGACTGGCGGGGCCATTTTGAATTAAATGACGCTGGCACAACGGAGTTGCATGTTCTTGTCATTTGAAATATGCGAGTTGATCTTCCTTCCTTGTTTCTAAGAGTAGCAGAGAATGAAAGACACCACTTTTCATGTGCTATAAATATAAATTAATTGAAAATATTCACGGTATCATCTGCCTTATATTATTTAATAAAATGTTATATACTCATTAGAACAAACAAAAATAAATATATTGGTATTTAAATACCATCCTTGTGTGATGGTCTTAAATACGTCAATAAACTTCGTTTCTCAAAATAGCAAAAAATGAGAATCTAGTCCTCCACGAAAAAGATTACGTTTGTTCAGAGTTCTAGAATCTTGAAATTTCTTTAGGAAATCGACAAAACGTGAGTGCCGGAACTGGTAGCAAATTCATTAGGATCCAGATGTGCTAATTAGAAGGTGAAGGAAAACAACCGCAGAACGAAGGAAGAAAAATTCATAATCCTTTGAGCATACCAGATAGGCAGACCCTTCTACTTCATCTTCTCATTTCTTATTGACCTGAAACAACAGAGAACTTTGAGTAATTCTTACTGTAACGAACAATGTCGTTACCTAAAGACTTGAATAGAGGAAAGACTCAGCAGAAATAAACATCATACAATGGAAACTCTAATTACACTGTAAGATACAACACTATTTATCTTTGCTTTTCTCTAACGACAAGCGGAAATATGTAACTAAATACCAAGATATCATTTAAATATATATTATTTCAGTACACTCTCTAATTTCCTAAAAACCAAAACAAATGTAAAAGAGATATATGCTAATATCGTGCCGTTTACAAATCGCATGGAAAGACAATGTCCCTAAAATCCTACATACCTGGAGTTAGTTGTTACAAGTTATAGTTAGGAGTCAATGAAGCTACTTTTCAAGAGAGTTTTAAAATTTTGTATTCAGGTTCTCGATTATTCTCGTACTACTCGGTTCGAGGTGATGTGGAAAATACGTAAAACACTCTTATACACTAAAACCCATGCATAGTTCCGAATAACGAATTCTAAGGAAAAATCAGATTATTTTCTACTTAAATTCTCCCTCTCTCACATTTACCTACGTATATGAAGTTTTAGTTTTTATACGTAATATAAAAAGACATTAATAATTGACAAAACATATGTTTAAAATGAACGAATGAATCATGTTAGATTGGATTTATTTGGAAGTATTGATAGACAATTCCATAAACTTGGATTCATAAACAGACACAAATTGCACAGCTACGTGTTAATAAAAAAACAATTATTAAACTAATTTGAATACTTTCCGTTTGTACTGGAACTTATTTTAAAAGTCAAGGTGTTTTACTGGTATTAAATAATAATAATAATAATAATAATAGTAATAATAATATTAATAATAATAATAAATTTGACGGGATAAAATCGTTCAGTTACATGAACTGGAAGGAGAATAAAAACAAGATAGTTTCCCGATATATTTTGAATTCATAATATTCCAGGATTTCGAAATACCTACTGCAAAATATAGAATATTGTAAATACTCAGAGGTGAGTATTCTGAGAACGCGCTCTCCTATTTATCACCTGTTTACTGAGCAAAAATTTCAACAGAACATTGTAAACGTCTCTGCAACGCGATAATGATCAGTCATTTTGTTTCGACGCAAAGAAATGGACATCGTGCTTGGGAGCGAAACTTCTTTTATTGGACCTTCCTTACCGTCTTATGCTCATGCGCAGAAGGCGATAAAGATCAATAATATTACTCCCTCATCAACCCTCACGCGATGAAAAGACATCTCGCGCAGACTCGTTCCTCGTGCCGCCGCTAGATATCTCTGGCGTTTCCAATGGCGGACCAAAACAGAACGTCAATTCTTATATCCTTTACGTACGATTAAGAAGTTACCTATAATTACAGCATCCCAGCTCACCAGAATACATTGCAACATGCTTCTAGATCGACATGGGTTTGTATATTCCATCATCTTGCATGAAATGTTGTAGAATAATGGTAATTTATTGAGAAAATATTGGCTAGCAAAGAGAACAAGTGATATGTTCTATCTCGCTTGTTCGGTACGTTCGCTTGATAGATATCAGAACCTTTGGGCGCTAATATGTGTACAGCATCAATAATGTAAGCATGATTTATGTATGAAGAGTCGAATTTTTAGCTTTCCTCGATAGTGCTTCTGATATTTGTATTATTTTCTTTTGAAGTAATGCTTAACCTATAAACGAACAATTTTTCATGCATTCATATTTCATTATTATTGATATATAAATGTCTCCTATCGTAATGATAAATGGCTTTCAATGCGCAATGAAAATATTTTCAATTAACATGTATTTTCCACTAATATAGACGTATCGAACGTTTTCTCGAAGCAGAAAACAGTATTTGAAACCTCGTTAATAGTGGTTGACTGAATAGTGGTACATTTATCAACAAATATGTGTTCCGAGTCCATGTTCCCTCACGTGGGTCGTAGTACAATATTTCATTAATTCATTATGCACGCAGATCTCTTATTGACAGAAACGCCCCAACTGCAGGCGTCTTTCAACTCGGGAGACTCGTGGGTCGAGGGTCGGCTGAAACTGGATATGCGCGGAAGTACGTACGGTACACACAGCGCAGCTCTTAGGCATCCATGTGACGCACCCCAGTAGCCACAACGTGACCCACGTCGACAGTTTACATCCAAGCACGGAACCGGAACCAGACTGATCAGTCAGCCCTTGAGGTGTTTCTTTGTTCATACTGATTCTTTCCCAGATATTTATATATATATTAGTGTAGTGTGAACTCTCCGTTTTATTTTCTGCCTACCAAATTTGAAAGTTTTATTTTTAAAAAATGCATTGCGATTACGTAAGAATTAAATTGCGTTTTATGTCTACAATCGGGTTAGTTTGGTTCATGGATCAAAGATAAAATCAAATGATCTGTGTTTAAATAAATACTTTCGAAACTGATCGCTTAATAAAAAAATTCTGTATTTAAAATATTTAATTGGATGAACAAAAACTCAAAGTGGTAATACAAATCGATCGCTGTTGACCGTTAACACAGCCAACGTCGGGTACCGAACGACCGCCCCCTCTCGTTACCCCCTCCAGCGGCGTTCCCTTCCATCCCGTCGCCTCCAATGCGGGGAGAAACTCCCGCATTTTATTCGCAAAGGGGACTTATCTAAAATAACAAGAGCCTCCTCTCCCTTTCTTACTTCGGAACCCATTTTCATTAGTCATTTGTATCCTTTCTTTCTCCTATCTTTCCGTCGGTTTATTCGTTCGGTTCTGAAGACTCGACAAGAGCGGATGGTTTACGAGCGGTACACCCCTCCCCCCTCCCGCAAAGCGGGGCCCGGGAACCCCATCTCGAATGGGGGGGAAGATCAAGGAACGGTCAAGCAGCGGCGCGCAAAAAGAAGAGACGCAAAAGACAAAAGGGGAAGACCTTACGAGACGCGACGGCGCGGCGGAGGCCGACGCGGAGGCGGAGGCGGGGGCGGGGGCGGCAGCGACGCGAAGACCGCCTAAGCTGTCCATAAATATGAGCAGCGGGCCCGGCGCGTGGCGGCAGAGAGCAGCTGCTGCGGACGACAAAATGCCCAGCGCTTAGTGGAAATGATTACGCTCGTCGCCGGCCAGATAATCATCAATTACCGAATGTGACAGGGTCCGGGCGAGGTGCGCGCCAAATAAAACTCGCGGCGCGGTGCGACACGGCAGGCGAGTTCACCAGCCCACCGGCCTTGCGGCCGGGCGAGGGCCTCCACAACACGACAGCTTCCGCGAGACGAGGAAAAAATGGGAAAGGAAACGCAGACATTATGAAAATTACTCAATTTCATTGCAAGGAACATGAAAGTGGGTGCGGGGGCTGTAGATAAGGAAACAAACGATACGTCGGGACACATAAAATGTCACAAAACGGAGCTCGCTGTCAAGAAGTAGACAAATGTCCCGAACATTCATTACCAACTGAGTTTGTGTTTTATTTCTGTGTACGAATAGCTTTCCACTTACAGCCCACGATTTACCCTCGAGCTTCTCTTTCTAAAACTGTGGTGGAGGCGCGCGACGTGACTGGGTGATTTAGTTGCCGGGACTATTCGTTCTGCATTTGCCATGCGCCTTGCGGAGCTCGGAAAAAACAACCGTTTCTTTTGTGACTGCACGGAAGCGTCAGTTTACTAGTACTTTAAGTGGAAATAAAGAAAACACGAACTCGTTTGTTTTCTTCTTCTGTAGTTTCAGCGGAATAGCTTGGCCCAGCACAATATAAAAATAACCTCCGACGTGGTTACATTAAATTTAATCTGATGTAAACACGATACTACGAAGGATTATGAAAGACGAAAAAATGTTTTTCTTCAATTGGTACTCTTTCACAAACTTCACGACGCTTCAAATTCTTTTCCGTAATTGAATAAGGCAGAGAATTATAGACTTTTGGTATAAAATATACTAGAATTGATGCAGCCAAAGTACAATTAAATATTTATTTTCATCTCTGTAAACATTCTCGCTACAACTATCAACAAAACCTGCAATTTGTAACTTATATTACTGTATACTTCGTCCTTCATACGCAATTTCTTGAAAATGCTCTTTATGCACTAAATACTTCTCTTGATCTTTTGATTTTAAGAACCACTGTGAAAGTGGATGAACGTGACTGATTAATTCAAAATAACCGTTATGAGTGAGATTTTTTCTTATTCACTAACGCGTTAATTTACATAAAGTTAAAATGTAAACATTGTCACATACATTAAAAAATCGTATATGTTTAGTAAATATTATCATAACAATAAAATTTAAAACTCTACGAATCTAAATGTCATATTACTGTCTTTGTATATAAATACGTGAAAATGTACATAAGAACTGTTGTTAATTAGTATGAAGTACATTTTATCCAAATACAATATAAAATTATAGGTATTTAATAAATATTTTTGCACTGTCCATGATGTTTATGGCAAAGAACCACATATTTTGTTAAAAATAATCCCTTGCAAAGAACAAATTTTGCGGAAATTTTTATCAACGTATTTACAAGTTTAAATGTTCAATTAGTAAAAAGTATAATTGAACCTATTATACCTATTATTGAATTAGGAATATAAAAAGTTTTACTCTAATGGATAATTATATTATGAAACAAAACTTTTCGTTGAGCTTCCAAATGGTCATTTTCATATGGGACTTCACTTCCCGAAAACATAATGAAGAAATGACGGAACTTTTAGTGACAAGCGGTATAACATGCTTCTGTATTAATTATTATTTCGATTTTTTCTTTGACATATAGATAGAAAAGCCTTTTATATGATGCAACACATATTATTAATTTCATAAAGGATGACTACACGCGTTTCGTGAGGTAACATTTGATAACAGGAAAACGTTCTAGAAGTGAATTCAGTATGTGTTACTAGAATTCGATAATGATCCATTTCAATGGTAATGAGAAATGAACTAGTAACTAATTTGGCAAAATTAAATTAACAAGCTTGGAACGGAGCATTACTGAATGTTTTTCGCAGAAAGGAAGTAATATTGCGAATTTTAAGTACTTAGATTAGAGTTAAATATATACGAGTCACCATCATCGTAATAATTATTTTATCAGTCTTAAATGGTTATTGTTTAATAAATTAATATTTCTTTAAATTAAACGTTAATACACAATACTACTGCTAAAACACGAGAAAATCTATTGCAAAATTCTCAGGAGAACAAACTTTGTTACAAAACACAGTAATTTATCAGGAACATCGATGTTAAATGTTATTTCACATTACCATAATAATAAAAATATCCGGGACACTCTTTTGACGTAATATTTGCATAACTTTTGCAAAAGAAAACTTTTACAAAAGATTAGAATAATTCAAGATCAAAACGTAATAATCAACAATGAAAATCCCGTAAAATTTTACAAATGCCTTCGATATTAAAGATTGTTTTGTTGAAAGAAATGCGTCGCGTTCTCAACACTGCCACAAAACAGCTGGCAGGCAAGGATTACTTCCTTGTCATCACCTCCGTTACAGGACTCTTCAATTCCAAACAAACATTCTAATGCTTTCTCCTCTAACTTGATTAAGGCGCAAAGCAATCCGACAAGCGCGTGTCCGCGTCTGCATCCATCATAAGCCGTCCGTTCAAATCAGAGGCGGGCTCTAGAATCGGTCGCCGCACACGTGTTGGTGACCACGCGTCGCGGCAAGGTTCGCGGGCGCCGCCGCAGCCGCTTACCTGTAGCGCCAGCTCGCGGAGGCGACGCGCAGTCGCAGTGGTGCGGGGGTGGGCGGTGGAGGCGGCGGCGGTGGTGGCGGTGGCGGCGGCGGTGGAGGCGGCGGCGTCGAAGGGGGCAGCGCGGCGACTTCTATGCTGATTCTCCCGTGGCTGGGCGGAGGGGCGCGCTGGGGGTTGCACTGAAGATCCGGCTGAGGGGGGGGCGCGCAAGTGGCGGTCGAGCGACCGGCGGGCGCGTGCCTCAGCGGCTTAACGGCGTGCGGACTCTGCAAAGCGGTCCACGTGCTTCATGCACTCGCCTCGGAGATGCGCCACTGCGCGCACGCCGCCGCGACTCACGCGTTCGCTGCTACGGAGGGAGCATATCCAGTAGGCACAAGCAACAATCTGCGGCCCGGAAAAAAGAAAATTTATTACCTTTCCCCTGGGTTTTCCCGAAAACGGCCCCCCCGCGCCGGCAACCCTCCCCGGTCCGGCTCTCGGCCGCGCATAAAAACTCGCTCGTTCCTCGCACGTGCGTCTACACCTCCTTACAGTATTCATCCTCACAGCATACAAGTAGCGGCTGCCATATATGACACCGTGTTTAATAATGGGGAAGAAGAAGCTGGTATGCGAAAGTTTTTCTTTTTCTCGCCCGACGCTGGCCAGCAGTCATCTTGTTAAGGTATGAGCCCCGGCCGAAGGGTCGCGGTTCGGCGGAACGGCCCCGCCCGGACGCCCCCTGCCCCGGCTGCTATTCTGAGCGCCGCCGCAGCCGACAGCGGAAGCGGACATTGTGCGGCCGCGGCCAGAGGCGGGCGGCAGGGGGGCAGCGCGGAGGGTTGGGCGCGCGGAGCGGCCCGCGTCGGGCCGCCGCGCGCCGCCGCCGCGCCGCGCCACGCCGCCACACGTCATGCAGCGTCCGGAGCGTTGCACTTCTTCTTCTCTCACATACACACAACTCTGCCGAGATAACAGGTATTGCGGTGAAGGCAACGGTAGCGTAAGGCGACGGCGACAGTGGAGACGCTGAGCGACACCGAAGGTGGTTTACGATTGGAGAGAGGTGGTGATGGGGGAGGGGGATGATGAACCGAGGCCGATAGTGACAGTAACGCGTCGGGGAGGAGGGACAGCTCCCTTTCGAACCAGCCGCGAGGAAAGCGTACCGTACGATACACCAGCATCTGCCTGCCCGCCGCCGCCGCCACCTCCACGGCCCCCATGCGACCTCTGCCCCCGGCGTACGCCGGCCCGCAGCCGCCGCCGGTACCGGCCGCGTCCCGCAATTACAGGAACTGCGTTCGCGGGCCACGCGCATCTCTACTTCCTGTTCCTCCAGCTTTTTCCCGTGGCAGATTCTGGACGAATGTTTTCTCGTCAGACCGGGCGAACTGGATGTTTTTTTATAGAGGGTTCCGAATCTGCTCTGCGTAACACGCAGCTGAGACTGGAAAGAGAAAGGGCATGCAGGTTTAGGAACACAATTCGGAACTCGCGCGAGCTTGATGAGGCCGGATGACGAGGCCTGTATGATTGCCGTTGTTGAATGATTCAAATATAGTTCAGACTCATTCCTCGCATTTTTAATGCGGTCATTATATTCACAGTTACTGTTAAGTTGAAACGGTGGTTTCTCTAGCACTGACTTTCTACCACTTTTCTCTAGCATCGACGTTTCCAATAATAATTGAATAGATTCAATTATTTTCATAAACTTTCACTTTTAACTCAGAAATTTTGTGAAGGTGCATTTTCACTTATCCGTTCGCAGATCATGACATGTATTTGGTCGCGTAAGATGCACTCTAATTTTCTACTCGGAAAGTAACTTTGAGTTACAATTTTTCTTATACATTATCAAGGACCCTACATTTGTCATTTCCCTCTTTTTTACGTTGTATTGTAAAAAAATGCGAGAGAAGGACTTAAAGAGCATAAAAATAGCATTATTTTCGTTGATTTTTGAGGCATCAATTCTTCAGTCCGAAACAATGAGTACTTAATTACTACTGAAGTGAGTAGTTAGGGATCCAGCAATTGTTAGGTCGCAATTTCTCATTTACAATGAATATTGATAGTTGTAGTTCTTTTGAGATAGTTTTAAAAATCCATCTAACAACTCTCACAGAGCATTGTTATTGTATGACAGTGGGCGTGTTCAAAGCGACAATACTAGGATATGTGTACGTAGTGTCAACATTACTACGGTTTTTTACTTCTACAATGTAACTGTTGAGAAAGTACAGTTGTTCTCTAGTCTGAATCTTTCTCGCATAATATGCAGTACGCAGCTGGCATTGTTAATTTTCAGTAAATATTCTGTAAGTGTTGCCCATTGCCAATTGATTGCCCTACGTTTTAATGAAATACTTTTCTCAACTTAAGTAATTTTGAAACGTACATACAACTACATGACATGATTATTCATTATCATTATTAAAAATTATTTTTATTAATTTATTAATTAAAATTATTATTATTTGCATGCGATTCCACATGTCTGCACTGAAGTACTAAGAGCTTAATTGTTTAAATTTCACTCTTGCATGGTTTGGCATTTTTCCCCTCCCGATGACCTCGATTGTGTTTTCTATAAGTATCAACATTTTATTTTCACTATATTTACGATTATAACTTCTCTATTAATCTTCAAAGCGCATAGTGCGTCTCACGAAACGAGCATTCAGCTATCAACTATTGTTACCCAACACTGTGTTCACAATATTCCAGATTGTTCTGTTTGTTAGGGAACATCTGACAAGCAAAAGGATACACGATACTATATACTACTAGGGATACTCAGCAGTCGTGGTTCTTCCCTTTATCTCCTCCTTTCTCCTTCCCTCTCCGTCTCTCTCCGTCTCTCTCCGTCTCTCTCCGTCTCTCTCCGTCTCTCTCCGTCTCTCTCTGTCTCTCTCTGTCTCTCTCCGTCTCTTTTCATCACTCTCACCGTCACTATCACCGTCACTATCACCGTCACTATCACCGTCACTCTCACCGTCACTCTCTCCGTCTCTCTCTCTCCGTCTCTCTCTCTCCGTCTCTCTCTCTCCGTCTCTCTCTTTTTCCGTCTCTCTCTCTCCGTCTCTCTCTCCGTCTTTCTCTCCGTCTCTCTCTCTCTCCGCCTCTCTCTCTCCGCCTCTCTCTCCGCCTCTCTCTCTCCGCCTCTCTCTCTCCGTCTCTCTCCATCTCTCTCCATCTCTCTCCGTCTCTCTCTGCCTCTCTCTCTTCGTTTCTTTCGTTTTTTCTCTCCGTCTCTCTCTCTCTCTACGTCTCTCCGACTATCTCTCAACGTCTCTCACGTCTCTGGGCAGGTGGGGTAATATCGAGAAACGCCGGACCAGCAAAAATATAATAGAATTTTAAGAAAATCACGTCCTGTAGTTAAGGTGTCAGAAATGTTCCGTCGCCTCAAAAGTTTAGTTTTTAATGCCCTAGAACGCTACGTTTAGGAGTTATTTAACGACATAGATTAAAAAATACTGCAGAGTGCTTTTGCTTGATTTTGAAATAAATATTGAGTTTAGTTATACAGCGCCATCTAATGGAGTTGCAACAAAATTAACTTGATATTAGTACACAATTAATATGATCACTCTCCAAGTTTTGAACGCTCTGATAGAATGTTGAAAGGCGAATTCATCTACCTATGATATACACGCTAATTATTTTACGGTTCTAAATTGATAATTATTGGTATCTTTGTGCTGGTGAAGTAAGTTTGCACAGACATTTTAACACCAACATAAAAGATGTATTGTGACGTCATGGATACTCACAGCGACCACAGACACAGAGCTTTCGTATAACAAATATATTTATTAACAAGAAAACAAAACAAATATATACACTTAATAATCTACTTACACCCTAGCTCTGATAGACCTACTATCCCCTGATCGCGGGAGCGATCCAAAACCCGATTGAAGATTGTTTTGATTGTGGCATTCGCTACTCCTACTTTTGAAGCGCGCACAAAGCCTAGCTTCCGTGACCGGATGTCACGCTGGGACACAAAGTCCGTTCTGGCGCACCAACGGCTGGTTTGCCTCGATCGCAGGAGCGATCTTATCCGATTGAGAATCGGCGTGAATCGTGGCACTCAACCACTCTTCACCTCGGAGCACGCATACAGCATCGCTCCCCCGTGACCGCAGTCACCCAAGGACATAAAGTCCGCAGGCTTCGTCAACTAATGACTCCAGCCTCGCGAGCCTGGCTCGCATATGCACCGTCTTGGCGCAAAGTTTTGTGCACACGCACGAGGTTCTCCCACCGTCTCCAGAACCTGCCTACTGGCTCCGTACACTCTGTTATATAGGCGAGGCCCACGTGACCTCCTACGTCACGCCACTCCCTCGCTTGTTATAACAGTGAAAAGCTTCTATAAGCCGGAAGACACCCAAAGCCTTGTGTCTCCCGTCTCCGCGTTCTTCCCTTTACGGAAAAACCCTACTTCCTGTGGCGAGACTAATCCGCAACCAAGCGTCCCCAAATAGATGCCATGAGGCACGCTGGCTAATACGTTACAGTATGTGAGTTCTTACTTGCACTTCATATTATTGTTTTAACCTTTGAGAATAAGCGATAAGTTATTATAAAAACTCACAGAAACAAGTAATTTGCCTCAAAATCAGTTTATTCACAATTCTCTGATGACATTTTTAAGTAGATTTTCTAGATTCAAAAGTTAATTCTCAGTTGGCGATTCGGACATGCCGTAGGATCAAATATTCTTTTAGCTAAAACGATTTGATATATATTTTTTTCATTTTTAAAACACGACAATTTCCCATTTGAAGACATTACGATGCACATTTTAATAAGGTTAAAGGAGCATCTACAGACAATAATTAAATAATATTATAACAGGCGCGGATTCTCGGGGAGGGAAATGAGAGGAAATTCCCTCTAAAATTGTCAACAACTATTAATTTTAATATGTCACGAGGCCCTTGCCACCAAAAATTTGTGTTTCGTAAAGACTTACGACCACCATCATTTAGTGAGAAATATGGCTGTGGTATCTGTCCTATTAGAAAATTGCATGTGTTATCAAAAATATGGATTAAAATTAAAAACACTATTCAACACATCTCATCTCTAGTCGAGGTCTACAATGGCACAACGGAAAACTCCCTCCCTCTATCATATATCATTCCAGGCCGAATTATATCGGAAATCAAAGAAAGGGATATACGTTTTCGTTATTGAACTGCTCCTATCCCTCACAGTTGTTTGCAACACAATCTTCCAATGTTACCAATTTTTGATCAACCGGAAACAATATTCGAAGACAACATCAAAATAAAAATAGGCAGTTGCGAAATTTTAAGATCACGCCGTAAGAAATACGAAAGCGAGAGTGGCAAGCGATGGAGTTCAGGAACAGAGCTGGAGGCAGAATGATATGCATAAATCTGCGTGGTCATTGGCACAGGTCCGAAGGGCTCGAAGGGTCAGATACCTGTTTTTAATCGAAGGCCTTTGATTCAGGTGCGGAAGACGTCGGAAGCGAGCGTGAGAGAAACCGGGGCTGAATTGAGGGGCCAGGTAGACACACGCCGGCACAATGGGCGAAGGAAGGGTGCAACGCCCAAATCCGTGGGCGCGGGGCGCTGCTCGCTCCTTCAGGAAGGTCACGGCGACCGCGAGGGGAGAGTTCGTTGCACCGGGCAGCCCACGCCGCGCCGCTCCGCGCCAGTCCTCGTTGCCCCCCGCGCCCCCCCCCTTTGCCCACGAACGCGGACAGCCCGGAACCCGGCAGCGGACATCCTCGGCCCTTCGGACCCTCGGCCCCAGCCGCGGCCCGGCCCCGGCCCCTCACCCCCTTCCCCAGCCCCTGATCGGCGCTTCTTCATGCAGTGCTCCAGCTTTTCAATCCACACAAAAATATGCTGTAATATATTCAATATCTTTCAGGGACACCTGCCAAAGATGTGTAGAAAGAGGTTTGAGTTTTGCGTTTCTCGAAACTGCAAAACTTCACTCCAAAACTGTAAGAGAATCGTAATTAGACTCCGTTATCCAATAGGTTCACTATCCCCATCATCCTGTTTTATCCAGATTTTAAAAAGAAATTTCGTAATTCAGTACTAAAAAACAATAAGATGAGAAAATATTTATCATTGAATTCGAAGAAAAATACTTCTGCTTACATAATCATTTATCACATTTCCCCTTTTCGTTAGGAAAACATTTTCATAAATCAAAATTGATCTGA